CACAGAACCACAGAAAGATATAGTGCATAGCTATTAGGAGTGTGTATTTCTGTGTATACTGTGAGGGTCGGCCTATTTTAGAAACCTTTGGAAATAAGGACGTTTAGCTTAATTTATTCTAAGTTGTTGGGTAAGAAGGTTATAACCTCCTTACCCTTTGAGTCCCCGTAAGGAGATTTAAAGTTGTTTACATCAGTTTATTTCTATGCAAATGTTCTTATATTATCTTTATTATTGTGTTCAAGCTCTTCATTGTCGCTATACGATGTTCACACATAAAGGAATTTTAAACTCCCCAAAACTCAGATTTTTTAAACGTTTGGACTATTCCATCAAATGTAAATAATCTAGGTAACAAGTTAAAATATTCACATAATCTGAGTTTTGGGGGGTTTAAATTCCATTTAGTGTGGACATTGTATAGCGACAATGAAGGGCTTGAACACAATGATAAAGATAATATGAGACGAGTTTCCTTGATATATTTGGTATTTTTCGGTATTATATAAATAGTTTGTAAGAGAGAAAAGTTTAAGTTTGAGGTAGTTTGAAGGTGAAGATCACCTGATGTGTTTAGTTATTTTTGTCAGTAAAGTAAGCGGTTAAATTAATTCAGGTTGCCTGTGTTTGGTGTTCAGACTCTCATAATGTTTCCATAGTCTACTTTTCTGTTGATGCTCGCTTTGAGGCACTTAGCGCGATGAATCACCAGAAGGCAGATTTACTCAAGAAAATCATTAGGTTTAATGCCAAGTCGCAGCTTTTACAGAGGTCTGACTTTCACTGTTTTTTAACTGAGTTAGAGCTAAAAGGTTTTGTTGATTTGTTGAACCCATTAGATCGACAGAACATACTCAAACAATTCCTAGTTCGTTCTTCTAAAATATGCTGCATCCCTTGTGTTGTTTAGGTATTGATATTGGTTAAAGAATGTTGATAGTGGAAAGCATGCATTTTGATGACACAACCTTCGACTTGGCTGATACGTTTAGGTTTGTGGATCAAATGTATGGCTTCAAGTCAGGTGACCTGGTACTTGTTTACTCCACTACATTTATATAATACCTTTAGTTACTTCTTTGGATTAATAATGTGAAATATAATCAACACTTAAATAAGACTTTAGTTACGCCTGGAGCAACATTCACAAGTCACCCTGCAGTATACACAGTATCAAAGCTTGTAAATGTGCAGCTAGTTTTAATCACAAAAGCATTAATGTATAAATGATTATAATCAAAACATAATATATTATTCTGAAATGGACCAATGTGCATAACTAATTATTTTACATTTGGAACTTTAAGTATATGAGTTGCTGCTTTTACTTGAGTAACATTTTGAATGCTGGACTTCTACATGTACCAGTCTATTCCTACACTCTGGTACTTTTACTTAAGTACAAGATCCTTGAATTTGGAAAGGCCTTTGGCTCCCTCCCTCTCTCATTGTGCCAGATCAGCGGGGCCTCGCGATGAATCTTTAATGACCGGTTCCAAAGGCTTAATGGCCTCTAATGTTCTGTAATGATCTTCCGTCAACGCCATGTGCGCGGCCTTAATGGATCCAATGCCGTGGAGACTTCTTTGCCTTGAACTTCAGTAATTCCTCCTCTTTTGGTGGAGCAGCAGCACACAACAGGAAGTGCGAAAAACCATGAGCACAAGAAGGCTCCGGAGCTCCAGGGCGCAGCATGAGTTTCCCTCTCCGCCGATCGGCCTCAGGTAGGACCGGGGGAACGGTCTGAATTAAACAGATTTAGGAGATTTGACCCGTGCTGTTGTACATTTGCTTCAAAGATCTTTAAGGAAACTTACAAAATTAATTCACAACTGATCTTTGTGTGTAAAAGTATTTGGGAACATGCTGTTATAGACGAGAAGAAGGGATACACTTTGTAGGTAATGAGGTCAACAGTAAGGACATCTCTAAAACAATGCCATAATGCCTTGGTGCTTTTGTGGATGTAACATAGATAGATAGAGCTCATTTTGACTATAACAACTTTTAAAATATTATATTTAAAATAAAGGAAAATTGGTTTGAAATCAGTTGATCATTTTTTAGTTAAAACTAGTATTTTAAGTAAAATGTGTATTTTTAACTAATTTAAAACTTAAAGCGCTGTCCGTGGTGCTGAAAGCAGAGTCGGACGCGCCCTTCTGCTGAGAGACTGCTCGACTGCAAACTAAATGTGTATGAGATACATCTACTCATTAACTACATCGATAATGCATGGTCTTGTTTTTCATGAGCAGTATAGTTGTAACCTTAGTAGCCTTTGTAATAGACGGATATTTATTTCAGGAACTGTAATCATAAACTTGTATCGGTGTCCTCCATACTCACAGGACAGATACATATTTTAGAGCTAAGCAGAAGTCTCAAATGGGAAGCATTAAATAAGCTGTTCAGTTTGGTTTACATTATTTTTACCAATATTCTTATTGAAGGTTTCAGCCCTCTAGACTTATAATTGACTGAAAATGTATATCAGCTTGTAGGGCGGTTTCTTACGTCGTTCATTTGGCCAAAATAGGATTTAAACCTTTTTACTTTTTAACTAAAATGTCCTTAAAAGTGAAAAAAAGTATGGCTATTCTAGCTCTTGAAAAGACAAACATGTGTAAACTAAAGCGGCAACGATTATCAACACAAAAAAATAATTTCCACACACTCTTGAGATTCGTTAAAGTATTTTCTGTAATCATACTAAACTGAAAACTGTTTGTCAGAATAAAACATTTAAAGACATCACTTTAGACTCGGATAAATTGGGATCTATGAATAAATGATACATCCACAATCTGGAAAATAACATGCAGATTAATCAATATTAAAAAGTCGTTGTGCATCCCTGTTGTAAACACGTATTGTTCAGTGGTGGTTTGCAAAGTTTTTAATTACATTACATTACATTTCACTTGTTAGATGCTTTTATCCAAAGCGAATTACATACATTCAGTACTGTGGACAATCCCCACTCAACGACATGCTGACTGCAGTGGGACTCGAACTTGCTACCCCCTGATTCGAAGTTCAGCGCACTATTCACTGAGCCACAGCCTCCCATAACCTATTATGAAAACTGCTGATCCGCTTGTCATTATGCTATAACTGGCATCCATAGTTAGACTGAGAGTCACACATAAGTGCTCTCTCTCTCTCTGGATATCTTCTATAAATGTTCTGTAGTAAATACCGTCAGGATCTATTATTTAATTGATTGTCTAAGTGCAATAATCTAAACAGACTTTTGTTTATGTGTGATTTATCGACGCAATCCATTTATTTATTTAAGAGTATTTTATCATTCCTGGAAACAACTCCCTTCATAATTATTTCTCTCTGTGTTGTTTGGCTGCTTATGTGTTTCCACTAATTAACTTATTGATTTTGGTGTTTTCTGAAACATTAAATTAGTTAATGTGCTGATTTAACGCCAAAGGGTGAGGATATGTTCCTCAGAGTCACATAATATCTTGTGTTCCCTGAAGCGTCCATTGTGCTGTTACGTCTTGTTTGTTGGCTTTTGCTTTTAGGGACACGTGGTGTGGTTTTAAAAGCAAGGAGCTCATAAATGAAAGATGAATGCTTAGCTTTCAGTCATTTCATTACAGTGGGTGTAAGCGTTTGCTCTCATATGTTGATGTTTCAGTTGACGCCAAAGACTTGTTATTCAATATTTCATGGCTCAAGTGTTGTCTCTCGGTTGGAAGTGGGTTCATTTGAACTACTGTATACCACAAACTATATTTATACATTTACAAGGTTCTTACCTAACCAAGAGGCCACAGGTGTTCTACTCCTTCAGTCAAGGGTAAAGACTCCCTTTCAATGACCAGGTCCTGATCCCAGTTTCTGTCAACAGTCCATCACTCTCTCCTCTACCCTCTGTCTGATTCTCACAGCCCCAGCTCCAGCTTACAGAGTTTTCCTCCTCTTCAGTCCTGTAATTTACTGCTCACCACATCCTCTTGCTGTCCAGCCATCGATTTTCACTACCTTTCTCCCTGGTGAACAACAGCAACAACAGCGGTCCTTGGCTCTGCCTGCTGCTCGGCGCCAGGTGCCAAAGGTCGACCTCGGCCGTGAATCAGGCGGCTCTTTGTCCGCCGCCTCGTCTTCTATGGACTTACTGCTGCCATGCGCAGTTGCAGCTGTATCTGCCATTGACAGTTGTGCATCCGTTTCCCTGCGGGGGCTTTGCCTGCAGCCAGTCGACATGCATGGGTTGGCTGATTTCACATGTTCCTCCATATTGGTGGAAATGCAAAATGAACAGCTATAGAAAAAACAACATAACTCATCCGTACTGCTGTCTCCGTTATTCACATCGTTCTTCTTGCACGCTGCAGCCTTTCAGCAGTGGTGAACCTCTGCACCAAAATAAGATGAGAGCCCCTCCTTCCTCCGCTGTCTATCTCAAACACACACACACACACACACACACACACACACACACACACACACACACACACACACACACACACACACACACACACACACACACACACACACACACAACGTACACACATGCACACCACGACCTCCTCTACCCCCTCCTCGTTCTTCTTCATCTTCCTCCTCGCGGCGGGCAGGGCTGCAGCAGTCTTATGAACAGCACGGCTGCATCATGAACCGTTTCCCACTGATCCGGCCCCGAGCTGTTTCACTGACAAACATCCCGGTTGCTGCATTTCTGTCACGGATAGCGTCGACGAGCGGAGCATTGCCGGGGGAGAGCAGAGGGAGAGCAGCAGCAGAGGAAGAGGAGGCAACAGCTGCAGTGAGCACCACAACACCCGCCTGTGTCCTTCGCACCAGTTCATAAGCTTGTTGATTCGCCACTTGCACCCGGACTTGATGCACCCTCTTCATCCTCCTCTCTCGGGACAGCCAGAAGAAGAATCACCTGGGGGGGGGGGATATCACTTAGACAGCTTTTGCCACTCGGACCCCATGGGGGAGAAGGGGAGAGGGGGGAGGTGAGCCTCATCACTGGCAGATTTCTGGATTTGTTTAAGAACTTCCATGAAGCGCCAGGACGCAGCGATGGAGGATTCGGGACGCGTTTTAACATCGAGGGACTGCTGCAGCGGCCGGTGTGCGATGCGAACTGAGCCGTGGGTGGTGTAGTAGACCCCCTTTTTCCGAGCACAACACACACACCCTTCGCTTTATCTATATCTTCCAAACGGGACGCGCAGACTTGTTTCACTCCACCCGGGGAACATGTCCCGGGCAGCGGCTATCGCGAGCTCCCTGATCCGCCAGAAGCGCCAGGCGAGGGAGAAGGCGAATGCGTGCCGTGGCAGCCCGAGCAACAGCAAAGGAACCAGCGAGAAGCCGAGCAAGCTGAATGTGTTCTCCCGTGTCAAATTGTTTGGATCGAGGAAGAAACGGAAGAGAAAGCGACCACCAGGTGTGAGAATGACGGATAGAAAAGTGGGACCTCAACCATCTTCATCAGCAGCAGCAGCAGCTTCATTACCATCATCACTTCCAGCCAACACCATTTTCTCTCATTACTGAGGCTGGTCCTTCATCATTCATCACCCTCCTCGTAGCAGTAGCTGAGGAATGTATCATGTTGCATGCCAACACAAACATCACATGTGAATAACTTTGTGTAGTAGGCTACTGCAGCAAAGTGTTGTAGCAGCATGTGTCTGTGATAGCTAATGTTCTCATTAAAGCAGGATCCGTATCCAAGCAGAGCTCCAGCTCCTCCTGTTCTCACATTTCATCTGTCAATTATTTTGTATTTGTATGTAGACTACGCCACAGTGTACAGGGGTCAAGGATCGATATTGGGCCCTGGAGGCCCTGTGATAGGACAAATAAACAGCTTCTCCTCCTCTGATACTCCCGGCTTCTTGGTGATTGCTGGATTTGATACATGTGATCACATGGCAGTGATATGGAGTAAACACAGTTAATGCTTTTGTCTATTCTGCTCTTCTCAGAGCCCCAGCTAAAGGGCATAGTGACCAGGCTCTCCTGCAGCCAGGGCTTCCAGCTGCAGATGCAGCCTGATGGCATCATCGATGGAACAAAGGATGAAGACAGCACCTACGGTAGGTCAAAATCTGACCTTTGCTCGACAGAAAAAACATGTCCATCCAAGTTTTTCCACTGATGAACTTTTTTCGTCATCTGTTTCAAAATCAACCTTGGCTACAATTTCTATTATTTTCTTTAAAGCTTAATCTTTTTTAATCTTTCCCTTTCCCTGTTTTCGCTATAAAATGTCAGAAAACAGTGAATAATGGGCGGCGTGTGGCGTAGTGGGTTGTCCGTAGTGTTCGGATCAGGTTCAAACCCCACTACAGTCAGCATGTCGTTGTGTCCCTGGGCAAGACACTTCACCCCAAATTGCTCCTGTGGGGATTGTCCACAGTATTGAGTATGTAAGTCGCTTTGGATAAAAGCGTGTAACAAGTGACATGTAATGTAATGGCAATCACTATTCCCAGAATCCAAGGTGACATTTTCAAAATGCTTTTTTTTATCCGAGCAACAGTCCAAACCTCAAGGGTATTTACTGTACTAACATAAGATTCAAAGAAAAGCACCAAATCCTTACATTTCAAAAACAGTCTGTCAATCTATTAAGAAACTAACTGTTTCCAGCTTTCGAGAGCTTAAGTTTCCATACATGGGAAGATAAATGTGTGTACTTCAAAGCTGGTACAAATCCATACTAACTTCCTGTAGCTGTAACGACAAATACATTTTACAATTAGCTACAGCACAGGGTTGAATTATATCTTGTAAAATTGCTCCACTTCAAAGTAATGTAGACTCAAACCACGCTTTCTTTTGATCTCAATATTCACTACGAGTTCAAAATACAACAGAATATCGCAACATATTGAAGGTTCAATATCTAGCAAGATCTGGTTTAGCTTAATTCCCATATATGCACTTTGGTGTACCAATATACCAGTTTAAATCCAATTTAGTGATAGACTTCTGGAAATCTGTCAGATGTGGGAGTTTAATCTCAGGCAGACACTCAGCAACATGTCAAGTGTTCATTTAATTAGGAAACTGGTGGCTGCTTTTTCTTCAAATGTCAGTTTTTATCTACACTTTCTGTGTTAAATGTTCCCTGGCTAGAGCAATCCGTTAAATCTCCACACATTCAACAGGATACACATTGCAAAACCTATTTTCTAGGGGTGCACCGAATGGGAAATTCTTGGCCGAAACCGATACCGAAAATAGGAAACAGTTGGCCGAAAACCGAATGCCGAAAGGCCGAAAATGATTAATAGAAATATATATATATAATGTATACATTTTTTACCAATGTTGTTCAGCTACCTGATTATGGAAAAATACATGATTATGGCAAAACTTAACTTAACTTAAATAGTAATCACTATTATGGGTCCATAAAACATTTATTCAGCACTTTTGAATGCATACAGTACATTAATTCCAAGTCAAGTGCATTTTCTCTGTAGGATAACTACAACAAAGTGCATTCAGAACAAAGCCAAGGTGCATAAACATCTAGGCCAGTAGGCCTGCAACAAAATAGTGTAAATAAAGACTGTAACAGCCAGGTCTTCAACAACAACAAATGCACCTATAAGTGCATGCATACAAATGTGCAAACTGGATAAATCCACATGAATGTAACTATTTACAAATGAAATTACAATTCAATTTCAAGAATCTTTAAATCAGGCT